TATTTTAACACATTTCAAAAACAAAAGAAAACCAGCAACTTCTACCTGCATTTCCTCTGAGATCTTACTATGCAATATTCACCCTGTGGATTGGTGAAGTTTGCGCTGCTCCTCAACTCTCCCCACAGTGCGTATTCGAGTGTTTCCCCAGAACTCTCTGCTCATCTCCTCCGGATCCTCCGGATCCTCCGTCTCCTCCGAGGAAAAGCAGCAGCACACATCTCCTCCTCCCAAGGAGCCCAAGTCACAGAAGCCGGGTTCACACAACTTCACGTATCTCCCACACACCACTGGGAGCCCTGGTGGCTCTCCCTTCTGGAGGCATCCCTCGGCCACCATCCCTTCCAGGTCTCTGGAGCTAGTGCAGCTCAGTCAGTGTGGGATCTGCCCAGCCCGATCCAGGCAGACCCAGGCACTTCCATCTGGCCCTGCTGCTGTGTGCTGCGCCATGTGACCCACACTGTTTACTACCAGCTCAGCAGCCGCAGGCAAAGCTCATGATTACACAAACCCCTGGTCCCCAAGCCACACATTCTGGCAGGCGGGTCTGTTCTGAGTGAAAAACATTCCTGCTTCCGCCTGGGCTACACTTTGCCTCACCTGGGCTGTTGTCAGCAGATCCAGGGCTGCTAGGAAACTGGGGTTGGAACTGACAAAGCAGCAAAATGACAAATGTTGTCACTTGTTTACTAGTAGGAGCCAAGCCTGGCGCAGAGCTTTCTCACTTCTATGCCAGGAGCTGCTCAAACGGACTCACCTGCGTGGGTTAAACAATTCTGTGGGTGTGGATTGTGTTTTGTTTTGTTCCCTCCCAGTAGAAAGTGTTTGCTGGGCCTTACTAAGGGAACGAGCACAATAGAGGAACTCCATGCTCCATGTCTCACTGGTTCTACAGGAGTTAAGATTTCCCAAAGGCAGCGTCCACCCTAGGGGCTGGCACTCCGACGCAACTTCCCAAAATAGCAGTGTGAAGGGCTTTCTGTTTTCTTCTATCCCGCTGCCCAGCCCTTGCCCTCTCGGCCTAATCTGTGGAGGGCCACTCACCACAAACAAGGGGCATGGGAAGGGTGCAGCTGGCAGTGGGGATGCCAGGGCACTTAGCTTCCAGTTATTCAGGGATGAAGTATCAAGGCGGTGCTTTGTACCAGCTTTTACCCTCCCTGGTCATGGCACACTCCTCCACAGAACCCACCAGTGTCCCTGTTTGCAGCTCCGATGGAGAGACCGGGGCAGCATGGAAACCTGAACTAACCCAGCAGTTAGTGGAAGGCCTGCAGAGCGCGGCTTTTCTCTGAATATATTACCTCTGCTCCAGGGTTAGCATCGTCCACCCTGTAATATATTCTGATCTTAACAGTGATTTTCAAACTTTTCTTTCCATGGAGCCTTTTTTCTTTGACTCTGGGAGAATGCATCTTACTGCAACCACAACTTTCAGAAATGTCTCAGCTACCTCTTTAGAGCATGAAGATTGGCTCTTCCTTTGCCAAGCGGCCATAAAGAGATGCCACAATGGTAGTTCTTTCTTTAGTGGTTCTCGACATTTTTCTGCCTCCATTCAGTTCTTGGACCCAGAACATTCCCATCAATAATAACCCTAATGGCATTGTGAGGGTTCCAAAAACCCAGGAAGAGGTTCACCTTTCTGCTGACTTAGCCCCATACAATCCCCATGCCCAGCCTCCACCCCCTCAACTAATTAGCAAAAACAAAAACAACAGCAACAACAACAACAAAACTCACTAATACAAGGAATCAGGGCTGGTGCTGGAGTAGAAGTTGGAGCACTTGGGACGGCCACATCCCATATAGTACGCATGAATCTGAGCCCCCAGCTCGGCTCCCAACACTGGGGCAACAAGTAGTCAGTTCAAGTGCTTCGTCCCTGACACCCCTGTGGGGCCCCGTTTTGTGTCCCAGGTTCTGGCCTTAGCCCACCCAGGCATCTGGGGAGACAACCAGTGGTCAGAAAATCTGTCTTTAAAACAATAAAAATAAATTTTTTACAAAGATTTTTTGTTTATTTGAAAGGTGGTGTTAGAGAGAGAGAGACATCTTCCATGCACTGGCTCACTCCCCCTAAATAACTCCAATGGACAGGGCTATGCCAAGCTGGAGCCAGGAGCCCAGAGCTGCTTCTGGGTCTCCCATGTGGGTGCAGGAGCCCAGCTGCTTGGGTCTCCTGCCGCTTTCCCAGGCACATTCGCAGGGAGCTGGATTTGAAGTAGAGCAACCAGGTTTTGAACCAGGGTCTATATGGGATGTTGGTGTCACAGGTGGCAGCTTCTCTTGCTATGCCACAGTGCCAACCCCCAAAAACATATTTTTAAAAAAGAAATCAGGGCCCGGCATGATAGCGTAATGGTTAAGGTCCTCGCCTTGAACGCACCAGGATCCCATATGGGCGCCAGTTCTATTCCTGGCAGCTCCACTTCCCATCCAGCTCCGTGCTTCTGGTCTGGGAAAGCAGTCCAGGACAGCCCAAAGCCTTGGGACCCTGCACCCACATGGGAGACTCAGAGGAGGTTCCTGGCTCCTGGATTCGGATTGGCGCAGCACTGGCCGTTGCAGTCACTTGGGGAGTGAATCATCGGATGGAAGATCTTCCTCTCTGTCTCTCTTCTCCGTACATCTGCCTTTCCAATAAAATAAATAAATCTTAAAAAAAAAAAAAAAAGAAATCAGCCAGTGAACTATCTAGTGGTTACTTAAAATGATGAATGTGAACAAGCATAAAGAACCTAGTAAGTACACAGCTGAGAGAGGCTCACAGGGACTCCCTGCTATGTAATCAGTGATTAGCCCCTCAAATCTCTGGCATACACTGGGGTGCAGCTTGAGGGAGGGGGACAACAGCTTCCTGGCCCTGACTGCAAGGGGGCAGAGAGATCACATGAGCTCTGACCAGAGTTCACGGGGCAGTATCAAGGTCTGGTTCAAGTTAGGGAGGGAGGCCTGTGATCTTGCTCTATGGGGGGAGTTATACTAATTTTATTTTCCAGGGTCCTGGGAGGGTAGCTGCTCAGTAACACTGCCTTGGACCTGGCTATCACAGTTTGCAACGTTGCCAGCAATCCCAGGTCCACCACAGCCTGGTGCCCGACCTTGCGTGGTGGGAGAAGTCAGAGGTGGGAGTCAAACCCAGCCTCTTCCTCCTGGAACTCCCTTGAGGAAGTGGTTAGATCTTCCCTGCAGCCAGGGCTGGCACAGCAATCACAAGCCAAGGGTGTACTGGCCTGGTGGGAGTGACATCAGACCCACAGGCTTCCATGCCAGGCCACTGGAGACCCGTGACTGTGTGGGTGCTGACTGCAACAGTCGGTCGGGCAGCTGAACGTTGAGGCTGAGTGAAAATCTAAACTACTGAAGTCACTTGTGTGGGCCTGGGGGGGGGCAGTGCCAGGTCTCCCGAGTACCTGGGCTCAACTCCCTGCTGACTTCTCTGTTCCAGCTTTCTGCTCATGCTGCCTTACCTCAAAAACAGCCCACCATCTGTAAGCCCACGCCAAGCCTTCTTGTTTCAGCCCTCTGGCCATAATGAACATTTGGGGGCTGGGTCAGCAGATGGAAGATCTCTCCTTCCTGCCCCCTGTCACTCTGCCTTTCCAATAAATAAATATATGTTTTGTTTAAAAAGAGAGACTTTATTATTTTTTATTGGAAAGCCAGATATACAGAAAGGAGAGACAAAGATCTCTCACCTGCTGGTTCACTCCCCAAGTGGCTAATCCAAAGCCAGGAACTAGGAGCTTCTTCCAGGTCTCCCCTGCCAGTGCAGGGTCCCAAGGCCTTGGGCTGTCCCCTACTGCTTTCCCAGGCCACAAGCAGGAAGCTGGATGGGAGGCAGAACAGTTGGCACATAGACCAACACCCATATGATATCCCAGCTCATGCAAGGTGAGGATTTTAGGCACTATGCTATCACGCTCGGCCCTAAATCTTTTATTTTTTATGATTTACAGTACCACCAGTAGAGGAAGGCTCAAAATCTTAGGCCTGGGAGACTCAGAAGAAGGTCCTGGCTCCTGACTTCACACAGGCTCAGTTCCAGCCACTGCTGCCAGTTGAGGAGTGAACCAGCGGACAAGAGATCTTTCCCTTCTTTGTAGATCTGCCTTTCCAATAAAAATAAGTAAATCTTAAAAAAAAAAAAAAAAAGATTTATTCTCCCTCCCTATCTCTTAGAAAACATACCAAACAGCTTCACTGCCACCAAAGCTCGGCATTTTGGATCGAGCAAGAGAAAAAAAAAAAACCTGACACCAGAAGGAAAGCAGAATCCACATCAAGAACAATTATCACCTCCCCCTTGTCCCTTCACACACACATACCGTAATGAGACACAGAAACACTGGCCAGAGGGTGGGATTAGCAGCACGTGACGGCGGCACTGCACGCGCCAAAGAGTGGCTCCACACCAATGAACGGAGAGGGCTGTGCTGGCACCTGCGGGCAGTGGGCACAGCCGCCAGGGACTCCCACCCAGGCAGGGGACGGTGAGACCCGGCAGGAGGGGTGTGTGCACAGAACTCCGCTTACAGAAGTTTTACAGAGATTCTAGAAAGATGGGACTTAAAAAGAAAAAATAATAATAAAGAATGATAGGTGTCAAACTGCGTCCTCTCTCGCTGCCCCCGGCCCAGGACAGGATGGCGGGTGCGCGCGGGGCAACGGTCTCCATTCGGACCGCCAGCACCACCCCAGCACACCTGGGCCAGGGCCGGGCCCCGCTGGCCGGACAGGGATTCTTATGTTGGCGGGAGGCATTAATTCTGACAAGAGACCCTCAAGGGACCAAGCCAGAGCCGAGAGCAGGAGTCCATGACCGTCGCGGAAGGAAATGGCCAAGGGCGGCAGGCAAGAGCCTCGACGCCCCAAAAGAACTTGAGATCCCCTGAGGTCATTCTCTGAAGACCCCAGACTCGCCTCGCCTCGGCCAAAAACCGAGCCCACGCCCCCTTTGTTCCCCACTTTCATGATACTGGCATTCTCGTACTTACCAGAGCTCAGGGGCTCGAGTTCCTCGCCCGCGTCCTGTCCCCTCCCAGCCCCCTCCTCACTTCACGTCCCCTCCTCCAGGGGCCGCAGCCATGTCCGTTACTGGCAATTCTAAGGCTGCTCGCTTCCCTTCCTAGACAACAGATACGCCAGCCAACAAGCTAAAGTCCTAGGCGCCTATTGGCTAGAATACGAAGTACGTGGGGAATCCCGATTTTCTATTGGCTTGGCGGCGCGCTAGGCTGTAGCTGCAACCGCCCCTCTGGAAGCCTGGCGGAATTATGTGCTGAGAGATAGGGGCGGGAGGGAGGGGAGCCCACAGTCGCTGTCCATTCTTGGACACCGGCCTTGGTCGCTTAAGGCTGACGAGGCCGTAAGACTAGAAACCAGGACACAGCTTTGTCTCTGATTAGTTTTCCTACAGACTGTTGCTGAAGAGATGAACAGACAATACCCTTCCTTTTCAAAACGAGCCCTTTCTTTACGGGTTGCCCCGTGTCTTTCTTTTTTCTAAGCTCCTTTGTTGTGGGTGAGAATGGCTTGCTCGGAGAGACCATAGAGAAAGTCCCTCAGGACTAATGTTGCTTGCAAACCAGAGCTAGAAAATGTAAGGCAATCCTGCCGTTTCCACCAAGGGAAAAAAACAAACTTAAAAAAAAAATTCTGGATAATTAGAGAAGTCTCCTGGGAGACCTCTCTTGGGAAAATGGAGCCAGTCTGTGTCAGTATTTACTTCTGTTTTCCCAGAGATCTATGTCCAGAGGATTTTTTTGGTTTGTTTTGAAATCTGCTTCTAGAAATTGGAAAAGGGCCATGATTGGCCTTGGAAAGAAAGAATCCCTTCCTTTTATAATGAGATAAGTTATGTGATTAAAGTTCCTCTTCCCCAGCTGGACGTGAAAGTACCATCTTAGTACCCAATCTTGTACATGGGAACCACTTCAGCTGTTGCACAATCGCTTCTACACTTGGAGATACTTGCCCGGGAAAATCTGCATGAGCTTTGCAAGTAGACACATCCAAATGGCTCCTCCTGTGGTTCAAAAGCCTTCATTAATCCGCTTAGGGAGTCACTGTGTCAGGCCTAACCCCACACTAGCCACGCTACTCCTGCAGCACCTAAAACTTGTGGGCAACCTTGCTCCCACCACAACTCCCTTGCCCAGTCGGAAGCTCCGTTCCACACCACATTCACAGCGCTGCCTTAAACACTGCCTTCACAAACACCTTCTCCAACTTAGAGTCATCGAAGCTCGAGACAGAGATCTTCTAATGGCTGGTTCACTCCCCAAATGCTACAACAGCCGGGGCCCTACCAGGCCAAGCCCCAGAGACAGGAAGTCAATCCAGGTCTCCAACCATTCACGCCATCATCTACTCCGTCCTAGGGTACATGAGCAGGAAACCAGCGCACAGCTGGGACTCACACTCAGCAGCTCTGGTATGGAACACAGATGACTCAGAGGACTTCCTAGCTGAAAGACCAGCACCTGCCTAGCATTGTTACTTCGGTAAGACTTCTCAAGTTCCTCCCGAAGGCAGCTGGCTCACCCCAGCAGTTTTCACAATGCCTCATCAGGCACCTTGGATTCATTTAACATTTGTTGTACTAGTTATTTCTCTGTCTCTGCTTCATCCCATAAGGCCTACATGGTTGCTCTTGGAAAAGCAATGAGTCCTGTCCATTGTGGCCATGCTTGTTTCTCTCCTCCACTGGGCTTGGAGCGAATCATGCCGTGAACTTGTCTGCCAGTTCCAGGGGTTATGCAACTACCTGCTCCTTCATCTACTGACTGCCCCCTCTGTCGGTTCCCCCAGCCACAAAACTTTGCAGAACGCACAAATCACTCAACCCAAGATGCCAGGGCACCTGCTCTTAATTCACCCAGGCTAGATTTTCTACATCTCTGAGATTACTTTAGTCCAGTCCTGTTGGTGGTCCAGCAACTCTAAGAAGTCATCTAGATCCTTTGCTTGCTTTGCATGTAACGGGCCTGATCTGCCTCACATTCCCTTGCTGTGTGCGTATGGAGACAATCAGTCAGAGGTCCCTCGGTGGCGTTATATGTCCGTTCTACTAGCTAGTGTAGCAGCGCCCAGGTCTCCCACTCTACTGCTATCGGTAACAATGGCCGCCTCCTTCATTTAGTGACCTGAAGGGGAAATTCATGAAATATACTTGAAAATTCAATATACAAGGCTTGAAGATACATGTCTCAATGGTTAAAGCTGCCTACAATAAATCCTTTCAGAACTGAACCATAGGAGCCTGACAGAATGGTTCAGTGGCTAAATCCTCACTTTGTACGTTCCACGAACCCATAGGCGCCGGTTCATGTCCTAAGTGCTCCACTTCTCATCTGGCTCCCTGCTTATGGCCTGGGAAAGTAGAGGATTTTGGCCCAAAGCCTTGGGACTCTGCATCCGTGTGCAAGATGAGATAGAAGCTTCTGGCTCCTGGCTTCAGATCAACTCAGCTCTACTTGTTGCAGCTACTTGGGGAATGAGCCAGCAGACAAAAGATCTTCCTCTATATATCCTTCTCTCTGTAAATTTGTCTTTCCAGGCCCAGCGCAGTAGCCTAAAGGCTAAAGTCCTTGCCTTGCATATGCCAGGATTCCATATGGACACCAGATCTAATCCCAGCGGTCCTACTTCCCATTCAACTCCCTGCTTGTGGCCTGGGAAGGCAGTTGAAGATGACCCAAAGCCTTGAGACTCTGCACCTGTGTGGGAGACCTGAAAGATGCTCGTGGCTCGTGGCTTCAGATCAATGCAGCTTTGGCTGTTTCGGCCACTTGGGGAGTGAATCATCAGAGGATCTTCCTCTCTATCTGTCCTCCTCACTGTATGTCTGGTTTTCCAATCAAAATAATGTGAATTGTTTTAAAAATTTGTCTTTCCGGGCCTGGCGGCATGGCCTAGCAGCTAAAAGTACTTGCCTTGAACATGCGCTGGGATACCATATGGGAGCTGGTTCTAATCCCGGCAGCTCCACTTCCCATCCAGCTCCTTACTTGTGGCCTGAGAAAGCAGTCGAGGATGGCCCAAAGCTTTGGGACCCTGCACCCACATAGGAGACCTGGAAGAAGTTCCTGGCTCCTGGTTTGCACTGGCACAGCTCTGGTCACTGCGCTCACTTGGAGAGTGAATCATCAGATGGAAGATCTTCCTCTCTGTCTCTCCTCCTCTCTGTATACCTGATTTTGCAATAAAAATAAATAAATCTTTTAAAAAAGAAGTTTGTCTTTCCAATTAAAAAAAAAAAGAAATAATAAATCTTTAAAAGAAAAAAAAGACTGAAGCTTGGGCCAGGCAGGCATGAGGTACACATGTTGTACATGAGAACGCCAGGTCACTGACTCCGGCTCTGCCGACACACAGGCTGGGAAGCTTTGCATTCTTGTCACTCATGTGAGAGACTCAGACTGATTTTTTTTTGGAATATTTATTTATTTTTATAGGAAAGTCAGATATACAGAGAGGAGGAGAGACAGAGAGGAAGATCTTCCATCCAGTGATTTACTCCCCAAGTGTCAGCAATGGCCGGTGCTGTGCTATGCCGATCTGAAGCCAGGAGCCAGGAACTTCTTCCAGGTGTCCCACGCGGGTGCAGGGTCCCAAGGCTTTGGGCTGTCCTCGACTGCTTTCTCAGGCCACAGGCAGGGAGCTGGATGGGAAGTGGAGCTGCCAGGTATTAGAACTAGCGCCTATATGGTATCCCAGCGCGTTTAAGGCGAAAGATTTAGCCATTAGGCCACCGCACCAGGACCTTTTTAAGAAAAAATTTAGTTATTTTTATTGCAAAGTCAGATATACAGAGAGGAGGAGAGACAGAGGAAGTCGAACTGAGTTTGGCATGGCTTCAGCCCCAGCTGGAAACCATGCGGGTCTTTGGGGAGTGAATTAGTGGAACGGAGGTTTGTTTCTCTCTTCCCAACAGATCAGCACCTGAGCTTGTGAGGGTCTTAAAGAAGTTTGTGGCAGGTGCTTGGGCCAGCAGTTTGGAAACAGCCACATCCCTTATGGGAATGTTTGGGTTAGAGTCTCAGCTCTACTTTTTTGATTCAAGGTTCCTGCTCATGAGTACCCTGGAAGGCAGCATTAATGGCCAAGGTAGCAAACTGTTGGATATACCTCTCTCTCTCTCTTTCTCTTTTCCTCTTTACATAATAAGTAAACATTTCTTTAAACTCATGGAAATCATAATTCCATTTTCCTGTAAACATATTGACTGAGCCTTCAGGTGTGCCAGGTACCAGCCAGATGTGGGATGCACAATAGTAAACCAGACTTGGGGCATCCCTTCCCTCCAGTCACTAATATTCTAGTGGAGGAGGCAATCCCTTAAAGACTTAAGTAATTACAGCCCCGCAGGTGTGCAGAGAGGTGCCAACAAGCATATCTGAGGGCATTCTGGCCTCCTTCCCTCTGCGTGGGTGGCTGAGGCGGGCTTTCCAGGAGAGATGCTAAATGCTAAAGAGAGACTACACTCAGCCAAGGAAAGGACAAGAGAGAACACATCCCTGCCAGGGAGCATCGTGCACGCAAAGGCTGCGTGGGGAAAGGGTCCGAGCTGGAGGAACTGAAGGCGATCCCCATGTAAAAGGAAAAGGTGAAAGTCAAAAAAGGGGGAAGAACCAAGGCTGGAGAGGTAGGGAGTGAATCAGAGGGTGGAAGATCTCCTTCTCTCTGTAAATCTATGTTTCCAATATAAATAAATAAATCTTTGAAAAAACTGAAATTTTGTAAATATTTATTTTTATTGGAAAGGCAAACTTCCAGAGAGAAGGAGAAACAGAGAAGCGAAGATTTTCCATCCACTGGTTCACTCCCCAAATGGCCACAATAGCCAGAACTGAGCCAATCTGAAGCCAGGAGTCAGGAGCTTCTTCCTGGTCACTCACATGGGTGCAGGGTTCCAAGGCTTTGGCTCATCCTCTACTGCTTTCCCAGGCCACAAACAGGGAGCTTGTTGGAAAGTGAAGCAGCCAGGATTAGAACAGGCACCCATATGGGATCCCAGTAAAAGCTAAGCACTGAACCATCACACAGGGCCTAGCCATTCTAATTTCTGTAACAGGGATAGGCC